GCTGTGTGGCCCAGAAAAGGCACCCAGCGCGTCACTGCAGGCTCCAGGAGCTGCGAGAAGGCCCCACCTGCCTCCGGCACCTGAACCCTTTCGGACACTCACAGGGACTCCCCTGCTCCCCGTCTGCCGGTTGTCTGCCTGAAATAAGTGACTGATTCCCACCAGGCTCAGCAGGGAGGCCTCCTCGAGCTGCTCTCCCATGGTGCCTGGAAACCGCACGGCTACACTGCCCACAAATGGGACACTGCTTAAGGTCATCCACAGCAGCTCATAACCTGCACACTTAGAAAGTTACTCTCCTAGGCCTAAAACCATGGATCCCCCAAGAAGGCCCTCAGCGGTCAAAACATTTTGTAGTTTTGAGAAACATGACCATTTGGGCAAAGTTCTGGAAAGTTCTGGAGGCTTTTGCTTGCTGGATTGCTCCCCGACGCTGACCCTGACTTAGTGTGATGCTGAAGAGGTGCTTCATCCCTGTGTCTCAGCTTCTAAAACGGGCGTGCTGCCTGGATCCTGAAGGACCTTGGGGCTACTTCATGAAAGTTTTCAGAAATCCCTGGAGATTCAAATGAGATGAGTGTGCCATGCCTCTCCAGCCTGCGGGAACACAGCAGCTCCCTAATTCAATCCCAGGCTGGAGTACATCTCCCTGCTGGCTGGGCACTGCTGGGGGGGATTGGCAGACACAAGAACAAGCAACAGAAAGGCCTCGCCTCTCCGGCTTGGTCTGGGTTTCCTCCCCTGGGGCCCTGGGAAGATACATTCCCCTCACCAGGCTGCTGGGAGATGGAAGGAGACATCTTCCCTGCAGCCTGGCTGGGTGTGGACAGCCCTACTGCCACCAGAAAACAATCCCTCACGCACCAGCGCCAGCAGCGCGAACATACAGCTCCCTGTGCACAGGCCAGTTAACTCCTGCCATCGCAGGGTAATTCTTTCTATTCTCGGCTGTATCCCAGTGTGGAAGAAAAATCAGGATCCCCCTACTCAGATGATGGTTTATCCTGCTATCTTGACCACCAGAACAAAGTACCCCCCAAATACCTGCAGGGCTAAGTATTTGGAGAAGGGGGGGGCTGATGGCTCCCAGCTGATGTGTGACAAGGCCTGTACCCTGGAGCAGCTGAACCCCTTGGGCAGCATCGCCTTCCCAGGTCTTGCGCAAGCCCAGAGGCCATGTGACTGGTTTGTTCCAGTGAGCACATCCTGCCCCAGTCCAGGTCAGCAGGTCAGGGGGTCACAGAGAAGCTCAGCCCCGCTGGGTCTCTCGGCAGAGTAGCTGGTTTCACACTGCTCTATACTGATCAGTTCACTATCTAGATGGTATCTGTCCCATCCTCCTTGCCGCATCCGTGCTGGTAACTCTAAGTTATCTTGATGACCAGACTAAGTGAGTGATTTGCCCCGTAGAGACAGGTAATACAGTCAAGACTGCAGGCACCATCCTTCCCAGCACCCAGCATTCATAAGATGGTAGTGATGGAAAAGGGCCTCTGGTCTTGATTAAGGTTTTTGTTTCCCAGGTGAGGGGAACTGAAGCTTAAGAAAAGACCCAAGGCAAGCTCTGGATGGTGTACCTGGGTAGGGACAGAACTGCCAAGAGATCGAATTGTAGAGATTCCTCCACAATTATCTGCGTGACACCTGTCATGTCACAAACTTGCAGATGCCTCAGTTTTCTCACCTGTGAAGTGGAAGAGTCAGACTTCCAGTACCCAAAACCCACACGCATCCTCAAAGTTAAAAAATCAGAAAATATTATCTAATTGCAGACAAGTCCAGATACCTAGGTTAGGATCAAAAGAAGCCTTCTTAAGTTCTAGCTGTGGACAAACACATTAAAACCCACAAACTATCACTGATCAACAACAAAAATAGAAAAACCTCATCAATGATTTCCTAGAGCAAAGAATTAAATTTGACTTCCCAGTCATGCAAATCAAAACAAGGACAGCATTTCAAACGCACCAGACTGGCAGAAATTAAAGTCCGATAATGTCTGGTGTTGGTAAATATGAGAGACAAAAACCCTCAAGGCCACTGGGAATATACGCTGGTAAAACCTCATTGGACAGCACTGTCAGTATCTAGAAAAATGGAAGGTGCACACACCTTAGGACCCAGCAACTTACTGACTTCTGCTTCTGCCCTAGAGGAACTCTTGCAAGTGTCTGACAGACACAAGGATACTGCAGTGCTGAGAACAGTGAAAAAGCAAAACTAACTGTCCCTCAGGAAATAAATACACCCTGCATTTAAGATGAATGAACTGGACCTGCTATGTATTAACCTAAATCAATCTCACAGACACAAGTGGAAAAAGGACACATGCAGTATAATTAAAGTATGTTAATTTCAATAACATTATTCACAAATTGATACAAAGTATTAAAAGAACAAGGAGAAAAAAAAACCCAACCAGGCAGGAGAATCATAAAGAGAAGAGCAGATAAGAGTTACAAGGTCCCTCAGACACCAGTAACAGATTTGCAGAGTGAAGAAGCTGGAAGCTGCTGTCTGCCCACCCGGGCCATGACCAGCAGGGAAGGCACTGACTCTAAGACCACACACACACAGACACACACACACACACACACACACACACACACACACACACGCCCCTCTGAGATAAGAAGCTGTGGGTGCTGCAAAAAGCAGGTGGGGGTGAGGCCTGCGCTTTAAAACGGGACTGAAGTCTAAATGTTTAATGGTGTTTGATCCCTAGATCCCCCTCCTACCCAAACTAGGTTGGGATGTGAACATACCAGGCACGGAGGGACTCGGGAGTCATCTCCCAGGCACTCTTGCTTAGGCAGCTCTGGAGTGTGCGCTGAGCGTGAACCAAAAAGATGAAGACACGGGACGAGGGGTGGAATGCCGACAGCCTCCCAAAACCCAGTGAGTCCAACACACACCTGTGTGTGCTTCAACTAGATTCGTCAATTTACCGTCAATCCTGACCACCTCTACACGTGAGGCTGAACCATATCCAAGTGCCTGACTGCAATCCTCCTTGATGTACAAAAACTACCATTTCATATAGTTCAGCCTCACGTACTTCCAACGCTTTCCTTATGCTAAACTGCCCAAAACAGGCGGCAGACACTATGGGTCCTCACCCTGAAACGTTTCAGTTCTTCTCTCCCGAGCACAGGGATATTCAATACAACCCCATCTCATCACCACATTTAAGAAAACCACCCAAGAGACATCCCAAGGCTCACCTGAAAGCACTCTTCCTTCACTTCCCAATCCAGCTGCCAATGGTAACACAAGGTATCTTAGCCCTAAAATATATACCACGTCCTACTCCAACTCCCAGGGCCGGCAGCTGGGGAAAGAAAGAGCCCATCTACAAGGAGGGCCGCAGCTCAGGCTGCTGAATCGGCAGCACACAGGCAGGTGCTTCCTGGAGCTAAAGGGCTTCCACACTCACTGCCTGGCCAGTTCAGAAACAGGCTGTCCAGACCCAGCAGCAGGGGAGCTCAAGTGGAGCCAGGGCTGTGTCTGGCACAAGTCGCCTTCCCCTGGGCCTGGGACGCCCCCAGATGAGGGATCTGCACCCTTCCACTTGGCTGCACCCCAGCTCTGGGACAAAAATGCCCCCAAAGGTTTGAGCGAATCCATTCTCCAGGGTGCCTTCAGCTCGTTGGGAAAGCCACACAGGTTGGGGGCAGCACAGCCCCTTTCTCTATGAAGCTCAAAGGCGCTAAGTCACCATCCCCCGTGCCAACAGGAAACAATCCTCCAGGAAGTTAAGGATGTTACGAAAGAAAAGGAAAGTAGCCTTTACCAAAGCAGACGCCCTGCTAAGGCTCTTCCTCATACCACCCTGCATCTACAGAATCAATTAGATGAACGCACCTCAGCTGCATTCGCCTGTAGTGAGGCACCTGAGGGTCAGTTTTTCCAAAGGTAACCAAAGGTTCTAGGCCTCCCTTTGAACCCCTCCTCCCCACACTGGGTACGAGTCTCTCCTGGGTCAGAGAGGGGGAATGTGGAGCCTGAGCTACTGTCCTTCTCCCCGTGCCAGCCTACTGGCTTCCTCAGTGCCGGGGGAAGGGGTTGACCGAGGCCCACGAAGAAGACAAATCCAATTCACATCTACCTGGACAGCCGGCGGACCCCCAAACTCGGTCACCCCACAACGCTCCCTCTCCGAGGCCTCCACGGTCATCAGCTGAGCGACAGGCGATGCCCCCGGGGCTCTGCTCTGCCTTCGCCTCTCCCGCAGCACCCTGGGCCCAGACCGGCTCCCTTCCTTAGCAAACCAGGGGTGGGCCCAGCCTCTCCCTCCCCCCACACTCCCGGGGCTGGTACCCCGGGTCCTACAGCCTCCTGTCCCCCCCTCTGCTTAGTTTCTCCTCCCATCTGTGGATTTAACTCTTTCTGTGGGTCCCACCTTCCTCCACCCAGTTCCAGGTTCCTGTTTTCCAATTTCTGTCTTCTGGGGGTCCCCGGACTTGGGTGTGATTGTGTGCAAGAAACTGCCCGGGCAAACCCTTTAGAAAAAGAATACACCTAAAACTGATGCAGGTAAATATTATCATCCCAGCAATTTACCGAGGAAACTGAGGCCCATTAGCTCAAAAGGGGCTGGGGAGCCGAGCTGCCGCCGAAGTCAGCGGGGCCCGGGCCAAGCTCTTCCTCGCAGGCTCCTCCCTCGGATCCCACCGCCCGGCCCTCCCCGGCCCTGAAGACGGCGGACCGTGGGGTCTGGATGACCCGGCCTGGGGTCAGAACACGACTCGGGGATTGGGGGCTGCGGGGGGGGGAACACGAGCCTCCCAGCCGGAGTGGGTGGGAATGGGGGAGGAGCACCGGCTACCCGCGCTGGGATTCATTTTTGCTTTTCTCACCACAACGACGTCCGGGAGGACGCCGTGCCGCCCCGGCTCGCCCCGGCTCGCCCGGCTGCGACTGCCCGAGGGTCCCCCTTTCCGCCGGCCAGGGACGCCGGTCTCCCCATCCCCCCGACCCGCCCGCACGCACTCGCTCACCGCGCTCCGCCGCCGCCGCAGAGGGCCTGGGCCTGCAGCGTGAGACCGCCCTGGCCGGCGCTGGAGATGGTGCCGGTGCCTGAGCAGCAGCTGTAGCTCCTCAGGGTCGCCCCCGCGCTAAGTAGAGCGCCCGGCCCCGCCCCGCGCTCGACTGACTCCTCACGTGACCGCCGGCGCCCCGCCCCGCCCCGCGCCCGGCTGACTCACCACGTGACCGCCGGCGCCCCGCCGCCGCGCCCGCCCGGCTCCCGGGCCTCCAGCCGCCTGGGAAGAGGGCTTCTGAGTGCCGCCGGCTTCCACCCTGCGCGCTGGGACCCGTGCGGAGCGGAAGGGGGCTGGAGGCGGCCCTCGGGGCCTCACCCCGCCTGGAGAGATTCCCCGGGGCCCACCCGGCCGAGACGCAGCGCATCAAAGCCAAAGCCCGAATTCCTACTTAAGGGAGGGGACAGCTGTTTCTTATTTCGTTGATCCAGAAACAACTGCCAGAGATGGGGGTATCGAGACAGCAGGCGTCCCAGAAGAGCCTTAAAAGGCTGTTAGCTTTACTATTCTGAGACTGTGCCTATCAGATCGTCCAGCTATGTAAGAAAAAAAAAAGGTAGTAGTTAATTACCACTGAGTACTAATTTCAGGAGCTGCATCAGGATTTCTATAGAGAAGCACCTGAGAGGCAAAAATCTGTTTGGAAGAGTGGTTGCCAGGAGGCCGGTCCTGAAGAGGTCGTACACAGCAAGCACACTGTTGTACCTGAAGTTTACTTGGGGGTGGGGGTCCCTATGGAGGCTGATGGAGGGGCTCAAGTCCCACTTGGTTCCATGATTCCCCGGATGTTTTTTTAAAATAAATTTATTTATTTATTTACTTTGGGGCTGTGTTGGGTCTTCGTTGCTGCGCGCGGGCTTTCTCTGCTTGCTGCGAGCGGGGGCTACTCTTCATTGCAGTGTGAGGGTTTCTCATTGCGGTGGCTTCTCATGTTGTGGAGCACGGGCTCTAGGCGCGTGGGCTTCATTAGTTGTGGCACGCGGGCTCAGTAGTTGTGCCTCACGGGCTCTAGAGCGCAGGCTCAGTAGTTGTGGCGCACGGGCTTAGTTGCTCCGTGGCATGTGGGATCTTCCCGGACCAGGGCTAGAACCTGTGTCCACTACATTGGCAGGTGGATTCTTAACCACTGCGCCACCAGGGAAGTCCCCTGGATGTTTCTAACACGCATGACAATCTTGCGAGGTTGGTATGATCCCAGTATTATTCAACGGGCTCAGAAAAGTCTGGTATTTTATCCTGGTGCTCCTGTAGTAAGAAAGCTGTAGATCTGGCCAACTCCAGGAGGCCCTGGATGTCTGCTGTGTCCTGCAGATGCCTGGCCATGAGCTGTGACACAGTCCCTGTGCATGCCAGGGCCCTTCAGAGAGTCTCCGGACACGTGGTCGCACCTGTTTGGTCCCAGTTAGGGGTAAGAGTGGAAGGAAAAAAGACTCAGTCCACACATGGTTGCTGCATCCTCAAGTGTGTGGAATATCCAAGGAACTTACAACAGCAGTTGTAAGCAGGGGATCAAGAGACTCCAGCCTTGGACTCCAGACTGCAAGTCAGTGTTTTGCCAAGTCACCTTCATATGACATCAGTCATTCTTGAATTCCATAACAGTGCTCGGAAGAGGCACAAAGTAGGAGGACAAGCCCATGATCATGATAAATCTCTCTCCCTCTCTCTTCTTTATAGCATGACAAGAGGAGTGCCAAGTGCTTTTCATGCATTCTCTCAATTTTACGGGATTTTGGATGGGTGCCATTATAGAGATAGAAATCCCTTTTGAAATAGAGCAAAAGAAAAATAAACAGGTACTACTAGAGTAGAATTGAACCATTCCTGGGAGATCCAGGAGTGCTTCGTGGAGGAAGCAACATGCCACAGGATCTATGTTACTTCCCTCTTTGCTCTCACTGGTTCTTAAGCTCCAAGAGGACCAGGATTTTGCCTGTGTTGTTCCCTCTGCGTCCCCAGCACATAGTAGCGTGCTTGGCACCTAGTAGAGAACGAACACTTGTTCGCTGAGTGAATTCATAAATGAATGAAATGGACTTTGAAGGTTAATAGAATTTTGGCTTAACTTGCCAGGTTTGGGACCAGGGAATAGCTCTCAGAATGTACAGAAGGGCCTTGGCCTGTATGTGCAGAAGATGTTTGCCTGTTAAGCTTCTGGAAAAGAGGCCTAGGTATACAACCAAAAGAGATAAAAACATATCCTCACAAAAACTTGGATTCAGATGTTCATTGCAGCATTATTCACAATAAACAAAGGGTAGAACCCAGTGCCCATCCACTGATAAATTGATACACAATACGCCATATGCCCATATAACAGAATGGTACTCATTTATAAAAAGGAATGAAATATTGGTACATACTACGGCATGGATAAGCCTTGAAAACATTTATGCTAAGTGAAAGAAGCCAGTCACAAAGACCACATATTATATGATCCCATTTATATGAAATGTCCAGAAGAGGCAAATCTATAGAGATTGAAAGTAGATTAGTGATTGTCTCAGGCTGGGGGGGCAGACAGGGAGATGGGAGATTTGGGAGGTGATAGCTAAAAGGTATGGGACTTCTTGAGTAATAAAAGTGCTCTAAAATTGATTGTGGTGATGGATATATATGTACCCTATGACCATAGTAAAAAAAAAAACATTGAATTGTACACTTTTAAATGAGTAAATATTTTGGTATGTCAGTTATATCTCAATAAAACTATTACAAAAAAATTTAAAAAGAGGGTTGATTAAGGAAGTACTGGAAAAGGCTAAAGTAGAAACAACCCTCCCCCCCCCACTTTTTCTGGCTGTCCTTTAAAAAGTCCCTTTCCTGAAGAAATATCTGATCTGTTTCTCTCTCTTTTGTAAACACTTGTAAATTCATTTTCCACTGACCTCTTTCTGCCAGCTTCTAAATCCAGAGGAGTTAGGCTGGTGGTGGAGAGATTTTTAATGGATGGTTTGTCGATATTTACTGGGCTCTTTAGTAGCTGACAGTGGAGTCTGACGGTTTGGGCATCAGCTAGTTCTTCCTCCCAGGTGTTAACCCAACAGAGTGACAACTGATAAGAGCGAATCCTCTCTCTACCTTCTTTTTTTTAATATTTATTTATTTATTTGGTTGTGTGGGATCTTAGTTGCAGCAGGCGGGCTCCTTAGTTGTGGCTCACCAGCTCCTTAGTTGCAGCATGCATGTGGGATCTACTTCCATGACTGGGGATAGAACCCAGGCCCCTTGCATTGGGAGCGCAGAGTCTTAGCCACTGGACAACCAGGGAAGTCCCACAGATTAGACCTTTTGAAGGTCTCCTTGGGCCCCTAATTCTTACTTTAGGCCTTTTATGAGCCTGAGAGCGTGATCTCCTGAGACCTCTAGCAGGTGGAAGGAAGGAAGTATTTGAAGGAGGATTTCTTTCCCCCATTATGCCCTGCCCCCAGTTCACTCAAGCCTACAGGGCCAGAAGCACTGGATTCTACCATGAACCAGAATCTTCTGAGCTTCCTGGAGGGCTCTGACCAATGGGAAGAGTTGACAATAGTCTCCTGCACAGAGATCTTGTTCCCTGAAAGCTGGGTTCACCTCTTGGTGGATGTTGAGCCAACAGACACAACTAAGTCAAAGATCACAAAGAGAAGGATGTATTATTACTTGCAGCAAGGAAGGAGAACACTGGGGATCTTTCCCAAAGCAGTGTCTCCCCAAACAGCAAAACTGGGGAAGGTTTAAGCTAAGGGTACATACATATTAATGAAGGGGCTTGAGCAGAGGACCATTAGCACAGAATTGGGGCTAAGCTGACTGAAGTCGGGAGGGTCAACGTCATCATTCTGTCCTCCACCTGGGTAGGGACCTTTTTCCCGCAGAACTCTAAGATATATTGGTGGGACTTCCCTGGTTGGGGAACTAAGATCCCACATGCCATTCAGCCACAAGAGATAAATCTTTTAAAAGGATATATTATTATGTATACCCCTTGAGGAGAAACTAGGACTCTGCTTTATCACTGCACTATTTGACTGCCTTTTCTCTGTTCCTGCATTCCTTTGTTCCCTTAAAATCATTAATTACTGAGACCTACTCAAGGGCAAGCATTGTGGCCAGGCTTAGATCACAAAACGGCATAGGCCAAAATGGGTTCTCTTGTACCAAGAAAACCATTCCTGGCTCCCTTTCTCCAGGACCCCCTACCCTATCCGCTTACAATCTCCCTTATCAACACTCTTTTTTCCCACTGGTCCTAGCCCGGGTGGGAAAAAAAAAAAAAAAAAAAAAAAAAAGGCCAGAAAAACCTGGGTTTGATTTCTAGTTCCAAAGTTTCTTCACTTTTCCCAGCCTCTAAACAGGTTGTTATGAGGGGATAATTTAAGTTAGATTCTGTGTAGTGCACCAACCACAGTGCCCATGAAACCGAGCAGGACACTATGGGGCCTTCCTGGTGACAAACTCCCGCCATGTTCCCCACCTCTTGTTTGTAAAACACCTTTAACTTCCTAGGTCTTCCTCAAGTTCCAAACAGCAGATTTAATCAGAGAAATTTAAAAATGCAGAAACAAAGGAAAACAGTGAAACAAGACAAAATAATAATAGTTTAGCCATAAAACAGAGTCAAGGACCTTTAGTTCCTCCTCAAGGACTATAGATAATATCCTGAACCATATCCTTGAGTTGTTTTGCAGAGACAAAACCCCCCCATCAGGTGGAAGATGCTAACTACATTCGGACCACCAGCAGCACTTAGACGCCAGACCGGCTGGAGCCAGAAAACTGATAATTGAGATCACCTTGTTACCGCCTCACCAACTAATTACAAGGATGTCCATGAGTTGATCATGTACCCCAGACCCTCCCTCTCACTTTGTCTTTAAAAACCCTTCCCTAAAAGCCAGTGGGGAGTCCAGGTCTTTTGAGCGTGAGCTGTCCATTCCCCTTGCTTGGCCCTGCAATAAATGCTGTACTTTCCTTCACCACAACCCGGTGTCAATATATTGGCTTTGCTGCACATCTGGGTGAGCGGAACCAAGTTTGGTTTGGTAACACCCACAAATACACTCTTCAAGTTTACAAAGCTCCTCCCACTTTCTAATGG